AGCTTCAGTAGGGAGGCCCAGACGTCCCTCTCCACAGCAACTTCGGCCAGCTCTTTCGGGGGAACCCCAAGGCGCTGCCAGGCTAGTCGAGAAACATAGTCCCTCCAGCGTGTCCAGTGTTTTTAGGAGAACTTTAAACTAACATAGTTAGGTCAGGGAGGGTTAGGTTATAAACATTTAAGCTTTGAACATCCCAGAGTCCCCTCTCTTCTAAAAAGGAAAAGGCTCAAGCACAGCTACAAACCCACCAGGATAAGCTAAACTCAAAGGCCAGATAAGGAGATAATTAAAGTAATATTGAAATATCTTCGCAAATGTATAAAAAGACTGGCCTTCCCAACATAAAAAAAAAATATGCACATGCACAACCCTGTACCTGCTCCCGAGAGGAAACGCCTGTTAAATGCGTGCGAGAGCATGCACCAGCCCATTTCTCCTCATGCACGCTCTGTATAAAAGTTGCTCTTCTCATAGCTCATACAAACTCACTGTTCAATCGTCCGCTCAAACCCATAAATCCTTCAATCACTATATAGAGCGGGGACTATAGAGTAAACTCAGTTAACTTACCGTTCGGACAGACGATCACTACTTTTTACACCCGGATCTTTGTTATTTACTCACCGGTGTCGGATAGCAACAGCCTATGGTGACAGCGGGCCTCTGTGACAGCAAATCCCATAATGCATTGCAAGCATTCCTTGATATATCTGCCTCTTCTAAGGCCTTTCTTTTCTTCTTATACACTTCGTAGTGACTTTTTCTCTTACAACCCTCAGCCACTATCAAAGCACCGCCGTCAGAAAGGTGAGCTTCAATGACCGTCTGAAACTGTAGTTCACCACAAAGATACACTTGAAAGTGAAAGAGCACGTAGGACGGCCTTACGGAAGCACATCACCAGAATGATTGACAATTAGGAGGACTACTTATTTAGATGATCCACCCAGAAATAAAAGATCGTCCTCTATACCTTTAAGCTTCTGTTGATCATCAGCAGCAGTTTATGTTCACATACTGTAGACCCTTATCTGCTCTCCTCTGTTTGAACTGACACTTTTTCTCTTACGACCCTCGGCCATTTTCATGCATGCACAGAAAAAGATAGCTAACGGGACGAGCACGTAGGACGGCCTTTACGTAAATTATAAGGAAAAATTAGGAGGACCACATATTTAGCTGATCCACTCAGAAATAAAATATCATCCTCTATACCTTTAATAAGCACAGTGGCTTCCACAGGTGGTAGCGTTAGAAGACATCCAACTGTAAAATGTCTTATTTACAGTTTTACACACAGACTGCGAAAAAATCTTGGTGAGGATAGCAGCTTGTTGTGGGGGGGTGCTTTTCTTCAGTGGGGACAGAGGTGCTGGGCTATAAGTTGATCCTGCAATGGATGAACTTAAACATGGGAAGTGCTCAAAATAAAAAAAATTCAAACTAAGTGAAGACTTCCAGCGTGAAGTTGGTGTTTCATAGTAGTGACTGAAGTGTAGAGAAAATGTGGTCAACCTTAAGGGCCATGTATAATTTAGGAATGTTAAAAGTTGGAAAAAAAAAAACAATTATGACATTTCTTTATAAAAACTGCATGAGGATCCAGATGTTTGCTCTAAAAAGAGACATATCGGTGTAAAAAAAGTCCTGAGAAATCCATCCTCTTTTAGCTGGTTATCTGATGTGATGTAAGCCAACTCCTCCTTGGGAATCACCTGCATGGCTGTAAAATAAGTGTTTAATGTCTACAAAATTGAATTAGCATTAACATTTTCCCCGATCTAACTAATGTAATGGGAGCTGTTATAAAAAAAAAAATGTTTGAGTTGTGGGTTATAAGAAGGAAACAGTGAGTCATTTCTGTAAAGATACTTAATGCTTGAAGGTCTTATAGGTCATAATGACTTTTCTGCTGTAAAAATAGGTAAGCATGCAGTGACTGACAAAAGAAACAGTTTGGGAGACTTTCAGAGAGCCTGGAGGAAAATTATAGTCAATATATTTTTTTAAAGATATCAAAGAAACATACTGGTGAGAAAAAAAGCTTTAGGAATATCAGTTACATACATGCAAAATGATTGTTTCCTCAGTTTTATTATTCTGAGGGCATAAAGGAATAAAAGTCAGACATTTTCAGAGATATTCAGATGTTGAAATATTCTGCAAAATTCAACTTTAGCTCCAGAAAGCCTTTTTTCTACAGGCAAATGTCTCTGTTTATTCGGGCTGCTATGATTAAGCTCCACTTCAGCAGATCACATAGCGAATGCTCGCTTTAGCCCATTTAAAACACCAACTGCATAAAACAGAATCATATTCATCCTGTTTGCAAAAAGTAGTTTTCCCTAGTGTGACTTTTCCTCCGGTCTAAATATAAATAATAACCAACAGATTTTAAGTCATAAGGAACCTATATCATTTTCTATTTTTGATTCAACCAAAAAGGTAAAAAAATTGTTTTAAATGTTTATTTTTCAAGACTTAATGGTTGGAGATTCGAGACAGATTTAGTTAAGGTTATGTGAACTGTTGAATTGCAGATACAGGTTTGTTTTATAAGATCCAATGTAGGAAAAATAAAAAAAAACAATTGGAAAGGTTAAATTAAGCCAACCTGTTATGAGAAGTTAACAACTAACAGGTTTGGTAAAATGCTTGCAACCCATCGTAAATAATCAAAGCATTAATTTATTTTTTCTCTATTAATTGGAACTAAACAGGAAATAGAAGAGAAAAACAAATTCAAACCTGTTTGGTGAATAGTAACTAAGGAAGTCTAAATTGAGAAAAAACATCAATTCTCTTCAAATTAGTTTTAGATGGGGGGAAAACATGCATTGTTTGGCATTGCCCACTTTGAACTGTCTAGATAAGGCTAAAGTAAACGATGGGTGGAATAAATGTATGTCTGTCTTCCTGCCTTTCCTTTTTGAGAGATCATCACAAGGCAGTAAATCACATCCAGGGCGTGCTCCCTCCACGGTTTCCCTCATTATCCGTCACCCACTGCTCCCTCCGTCCATTTGTCACATGAAGTCACCACATAAACTTATAGCATCTGTAGGCACTGAGTGGTCTGCTGAGGGCAACATATCCTCTTAACCTCTGCTTGCGTTTCATCCATCACCCACTGACACTCCCACTCAAACCTATACGCAAACACACACCCACTCTCATCCATCTCCCTTAACTGGGCTATATTCATCCATCTATGCATCCCCTCCCTGTCATAAACCATCCATATCTCACCCACTCTTTCCTCCCCTCATCCCTCTGCATCATAATGAGGCTGAACCATCCATTCATCAGCCCACCCCCCTCCTTCATCCCAGAGGAGCAGGAGGGTAGTGCTCCTCCCTGGCTGGCTGGCTGGCTGCTGATGATGGGATGTCTCTGGAGACCAGCTCAGCATTTAACACTTCCAAGATCCTAAAGGAGGAGACTGGGCGGCGCGCTGCTGCGCGCACACCAGAGCGCACGCATGCGCAGACGCATCAGTCAAGATAAAGCAGCAAACTGTTGGTCAGGATGAGTTTTTACTGTCAAAATCAAAAAGAAGACAAGTCTTTTCCACATGTAAGCATTATACATAAATAAAGCAGCTTTTATCAGGAAAAAATAAACTACTCTAATGAGAGCACTTTATTCTCATTGCTTTTATGCGTAAATAAATGTAGGCCTACCTGTTTTTTTAGTTGTTTTTAAGTTAAAGTTCCCATTATCAATTCGAAGTTCAAACTAACCTAATTTGACTGCAACGAAGCAGCATACGGCAGCTGCACTACTACAAAACACCTTAACTGCATCTGTGAGTCGCTGAAAGTAAAACACGCGTGGACGCAGGTTTACCTTGGATGTCACCTCTGATCGTCACAGCCCCCCCCGCCCCCCCAGCAGAGAGCCAAAAGTTGCACAGTTTTATGGACTTCTGCAGATCAGGTGTTCGCCTCCCGGATCTCCACCCTGGTGCATGTGTCTGTCACTGGGACACGTTAAGTTAGACCCCTAGAAATAAACCTACTTCCGGTTTGAACTCACAAAAATAAAAGCTGATTCCTGAGCGCAAATTATGAGCGCTCATCACTTTGAAGCTACACTGATTCATTTTACTCACCGTTTAATTATTTATGTTTTTAACTACGCACTCTTGATCAGAAAAAGTTATGTTTTCTTTATGATAAAAGAGCCTAAATGTTGTTTAAAAGCTACTGAATATGAGTGGGCTGGTAAGAAGGCTTTTATTTTGATAAGGCATGATCAAGGAGAACGAAGCTGTTTGATCTTACTAGACCACTGCTTAAAAAAATGGTTTAAGTCATTTGTGGTCTCCTTCCAGAAACATCCCAAAACCAATTAGTTTAGTTGGCCTATTTATATGGAAGACCAAAAGTGCCACGGTTCATAATGAAAAAATCAAATACATCTATCATTTTATACAAGTTTTAAACAAATATGTGACTGTAAACATGTTGCATTTTTTTTAAAGTCTTATTTAAATTTTTTAATCACTGGTCTAAGAAGTTTGTCATGTATTTATTACTCCGTTAAGCCAAACACACAGTTAGTGGATGGCGCCACTGCCCTTCTTTTTAATTTAATTGACACATCAAGCAATATCTACAGTAGGGTTTACTTGTTGAGCCAAAGAGAAAGATAACCATATTTATCAGTGCTTTGCTGAACAGGATGCATGATGTAAACAAATACTAAAAGTTATGTATTGTTTTAAAATCAAATGACACATTCCCCTAATTTCTTATTATTTTAACCTTTTTAGCCACAGCACACCCAAATCCGAGGCAAGCTCAAGCCACAATTTAATCGTTAAAAAGACAAATAATCCACATCTTTAGTAGCTACTAGTCATCAAATATTGATCAATTACAGTAAAATTTATTAATGAACATTTAGTAAATTTCTATTTTGCAGTGAAACCACCAAGCATCCACACCCCTGCCTTACCTCCAACTTTCCCAACTGAGGATGTAAAGGGTGTCAAACATTAGCTTAACTTATAAAATAAACCAGACAAAGTGTTTTTCAAAGTGTTGTTATAAATGAGAACAAACAGAGTCAAGAAAAGTTCACTTTTTCATGTTCAAACATTGCATCATGGAAAACCACAGGCAGTAATGAGCATAAACAATTTGAAACATTAAATTACAGCGGCAGCAAAAAACAAACTGTACTTAACAGAAAAACCAAATTGAGCCTCTTGTAAAAACAAACTCCTACTTTTACTGCCAATGCAAATGCAATACAAAATATAAAGATTTTCACAAAAACAAGAAACTAATAATTATCCACATTCAGATTTAACAGCTTGCTTACACATGAAAAACTTCAAACATATTTGACTAAAAGCTGAAAAATAATTAAACCTGACATTATAAAGATTATAAAGGACATAGATTTAAAAAAAATTCTAAACTGAATATTTCACATGCTGAAACAAGAGAAATTCCCTTGATATACCACTAAAAAACTGATAAAACTTGAACACAATCTGCAATCTAACTTATCATTTAAAAAGCATTTTGTCATAAAAGAAATACTAAAGCAGACTGAAAAATAGCTGAATGATTAAACAAGCCTCATTCCTTTGAGAGGCATTCTGGTATTTAAACTTAAAGTAAACGCAGCCTCTTAACACCAGGTAAACTTGCACAGGCCGAGTGATCTTTGTGGTAAATCTTTTCCATCCATTACAGGTTGTTATAGACTCGGGCTGGATCATTGAGCACCCATAAACGTTCAAACTCCTTGATGAAGGGCTGCACCAGCTCTGCCTCCTCCGTAATGATGACGTTCTCCCTGTTGCACTGCACAGCTGTGAGTGTCCAGTTGAGGGAGCCGGTGATGAGTAGCCGGCCGTCCACCACCGCAAACTTGTGGTGCATGTGCACATAGTCCGCTTCACAACGCACGCGGATGCCTGTTCAGAGATTGGTAAAAGGAGAAGATGTTGAGAAGGAGGTAGACTTTAGTGTTAGACAAAATCTTAATTCTTCAACAATTCTGCCTTAAAATGGCTGAGCTGGACTCAAACAAGATATCACTAGCATTTATCAATTTTATTATCTTAATTGTTTCTATAGCTAAATTACCGTGGATAAATACTTCACCCTACATTCTGAATGCTTATATATTTTTATTTTCTCAGTGTCTTGTCTGACAATAAAGCTAATTGTCTTGATGCCAAAAGGAGTCCAACAGATTTTACTTTCACAAGTGGAGCAGTATGGCTATTGCCATGTTCCGCTTTATTATAATTCATGAAGCGAGTATTATAGATTATATGGACACTGAAATGGGAAAAGTAGAACAGGAAATAAAAAACAAGTAAAAGGAGAAAAGATGAAAAAAAGAGGAGATTAAAGGATAAAAGGAAGACAATGATAAGTCTTATGTCTGCTTCATCACCTGCAAGGAGATATCTAAAAGATCAGCACAACCAACAGATATAATATATTAGATACAATAAAGTAACACCTTGATGCTATCGCTGAAGTATATGTAGTATTATTAACCTGACATGTATACTGTGGTAGCTGAAGATAGGAATATGGGCTTTCTGTATGGAAGTGAATCTCTAAGTACCTGGAGCCAAGCGCCTGTAGTTGTTTGTGAGAGTGCACTTGTGCATGTAAAGTTTATCCAACGAAAAATGCTCAACAGTGGTTGTGAAGAGCCAAAGACCGGCCCCCCCAGAACACCGAGTCAAACAGCAGGGGACCCAAAGCCCCAGATGACCAAAGGGACTCCCAGAGCAAAGGTGTTCAAGAGGAAATCTGCCCCCCCCCACCAAGGGATGAGGAGAGACGGCCCAGAGGAAAACCCCCCGCCACCGCAATGCCAAAGCTCCGCAGAGCAATGGAGACGAGCCTGCGGGCTCCGCCGGCTGCCAGCCACCCCGAAGTGTCACCGGCCATGGGCCCCAGGGCCTGACCTCTACCAAGACCGATGTTCTTGGTAGAGGGAGCAGTTCAGACCCCAACCTGACAAGTAAACAGAATAGAATAAAAAATAAATGCTTGTATCCAAAATCAAGGGAACGTACACAATTTAGTCTAGTAGGATATCACACTGTTTCATGTGGTATGAAGATTAATCTCTGTTCACCAACATAATTATTTTCTTTCATATGTAGATGACAGCATGACTACATATTAGAACTCCAGAAAATAAAAATGACCAACACGCGGTGTTGGTTTACATAGACGGAAACACGAACAATGGAGAACATAAACATGTTTTCCATTTCAGTTACCCACCAATCACAGTCAGTGATTCAAATGGGCCAAACCTTCCTTCTCTGACAGATGACTGGCAGCTCAATTACTATAGAAAGATGTTTTCTTTCTCTTTTCATTTAAAGAATCAAAGCTGAAAGCGTCAGTCCTTTCAGTCAGTAAACGCTTAAGCGGCATCTTTCTCAGATGCACTTTTCCCGGAGTTCAGTAGAAATCCAGCAGTACAATTAGGGACGTGTGCTTTGAGGTATATTTACATTGAAAAAATCCTTACATTGTTTTGATTCATGGAAGAGACATTATATAAATATTTATTGATTGATTGACTTTCCTGAGCTCACAGTGAAGAACCTCAAACAGAGGGGGTGGACTCAGGTTTCAGCTCTCAAAAACCTACAACACAGCGTTAGAGTTGATTCCTTCCCGCTATCATAATCCTCGTGGCCATGAAGGGGATTTTTGGAAAGAAATTTACTCTGTTATATCAGCTCAAATAGTCAAGAAGAGAAAGAGGTCCAATTTACTGAAAAATCTCTTCAAAATTTTTATTTTTAATCAAAACTAAATATCGATCCAGGTTCACAAATGAGCACCCTGATATGTGCTTTAGAATGGCTTTGTCTCCATTCAAACCCAGGTTTAAAGCCTTACAGTTCAGCCTAAAGCCAACTGCTCTCATTAAGCCATAGAAAAGAAACAAAAATATAACAAACGGTCAGTTCAGGTATTTTAAAAAGATATGTAAATCCGGAAATTGTCTTTATACCAAAAAAATTTGATGAGCACCTCAGCAGTTCAGAGCCGATACATCTATAAGCATGTGGCCTGTTTACCTTAATTTACTGCGGGTCGGAAGTTCCCGGCTGTTCCCCAGATTTGACGTCAAGCACATCCATATTAAATGGGTCTGACCCAGCAGTTGATCAAACCGTTCAAGATCGGTTTTGTGGATAATCAGAGGTGACCGGCATTCAGGTTGACGCAGATACCAGTGGCAACTGCAAGTAAGGTTGCAAAAAAATCAACAACAAAAACTTGAGCATAAGCGCATGCAGGTGGCAGTATCACTAGAAAACTCCATAATGCCTCACTAACAAACTTAAATGTTTCAGGTTGTTAGGCTTATTTTAACATAAGACAAAGAAAGCCTGAGTACAAAAAAGAAAAACATCTTTCAAGTATTTCTTAGGCTTTGGATCCAAATCGACATTCACTGCAGGGTCCCTAAGAGAAAAACACTGCTGAAAATGAACAAAAAGTACAATCAATCCTGGGCTGGGTGATTGATTCATTTTTTAAACTAATAACATTTTTTGTTTGTGTACATTTAATTTTTCTGAACATAATTTTTTCCCCAATTAACTCCTTTGGGTCCCATAGCTCAGTGACATCAGTTCATCAGTTTTTTTCTAAATTTGCACTCATAACTAGGCCTGTCACGATAACAAATTTTGCTGAACGATTAATTGTCTCAAAAATTATTGAGATAAACGATAATATTGTTTGAAGCCCTTTTTTTACACTGATCTAGTGGAAATGACGTAATAATGCATGCGATTTCCTGCCAAAGATAAACACTCTTTATTTTCAACAGAACACTTAACACTAGAACTGGTTAACAAAATAAAACGAGAAATAAAAATCAAATGTACTCTCAGTGTCTGTTAACTAAAAATACACTTGAATAAAAACTAAACACAAGATAAAACCAAATCACCTCGGTCATTTGGTTTGAATCCGAAATACTCCCAAACTGCGGCTGTTACATTTGGCTTTGAAACCAGTTCCACTTCAAGTCCCCCCCCCAAAATAATGCGCGCTGACTACCTGATGCGATAGTCCACTCCTCCTCCCTCCTCATTTATTCCCTTGCTGAAAAATGAGGAAGGGGAGGGGTCAGTGGATAGCACCGGAGTTAAGCCTTGTCATCTAGCGTCATCAATAGAAAGAGAAAAAAACACAGGCAGAGACGATATAGCTGATAAATTAAATTACAAGGATAGTTTTTATTTATTGTGCGATTAATTGATTTATTGATTATCGCGACAGGCCTACTCATAACTGATAATTAGCTGTGTCGTACCACTAGCTGCAGACATTTAGTGTGCTGTGTCGTCATTGTTTGTTGTCAAACATGACTGTTTTACAGCATCTTTCACAGCTTGAATCATGTTGCCCTTTAAGTTAAATTCACCTCCCAGGGAGGGTGATTGCAATACAGCCTAGCTTTCAAAAGCAATATATGCAAATTGTATTTCTTTATTATGCTTAGGTAGGAAAAAAAAAATTGGAGATTAGATTTTTCAGCCCTAGTGCCATAGCTTGATGAACTGTAAGACTATTGGAAAAATATTTTACGAAAAAACTCTTGAGGTATTAAAGCTGCTACTTCTGGTTCAAGAACTACGCATTTCAGAAAAAAATAAAAAACACCATTACACTTTTACTTTTTGCTTTCTTCTGTTAATTAAAAATATAACAATTCTGTTCTGCAGAACAAAATCCTGATATGTAATGTCCATCCATCAGTTTCTTAAGGTTTCTGATTGGCCTATGACCTTAAAATAGGCACCGCCAGCTTGGTAACACTGTACTGAAAAACAAAATCAGCAAGAAACAGTGGAGGTGATGGCAGGGGGTCAAAGTCTCTTATTAGGTTTAGGGCCGAGGCGCCAAGTTGCTGCAATGACTTTTCTCCCCTTTAGGAATTGAAATCACCATCTGATAGCTGCTTTTTATATTTACTCTGTTATACTACGTATATCTATTTTTTGATGATCTGACACTTTGAAGGTTGAGAGAAAACGAAAAACGCAAAAAAATCTATAAGAGGCCCATTAGTTTTTATGGGACTGTATATGTGATAATTTACCATGGAATCATTCTCCTGGATTCAAAGAAACTACCTCTTTCAAAGAACCTGCAGCACAGCTTTTATTTTCCTAAGGGTACCTGTAAGTATATATATTTTTTATGTGCTGGAATCCTTAGAAAGGGCAAACCCCCACCCTTTCTGAGTCTGATTGTTATAGTCAATACCTGATTAGGACATGTCTGTGCAACCATAACCCTCTGACACAGGGAAAAGGAGAGACGGTCAAATTCAGCATGTAACCTAAGGAAAAAAAATATTTTTTTTCTTGATCTTTAATATATAAACTCCTATTCATGTACTGGGTTTCACCTATCAGGACATTATACAAACGATTTGACCTCTTAAAAGTTTCTAATTTATCTTGACTTAAAAGAAATGAACAAAACCAAAAACCCAGACAGTAAAGATTTTGTATTCCTTTATGTTAAAAAAACTAAAACATTTCAAATAGCTGCCTTGTGGAGGTTCCTGTTATATTCAGCAAGAATAAACAATTTCTGCAAAACAATTACAAAACCAAATATGGAACAGGAGTTTAATTTTCCTTGAGCTAACTTCATTTGCAAGAGGTTGGCAGTCCACATTCACTCTCACACACACACACACACTCTCAGAAAACACTCTGCCTAATAACATTTGCTGTCTGGTTGCCAGCGTTGTACTTACTTAATTCTAAGCAAACCATATGCAGTGACAGTGATTTATTAAATGCAGAAAGGGTTGAGAGACAGAGTGAGAGCATGAGTCACACATGTGATACAAATCTTTCAAAGCACCATTACCCTGAGTCATTGAAGAGCTTGTAGAGGCAACCTCAACTAACCCTGACACCCCCATTATCTCACTGCTCACCATTATAGATCATGTGGGACTTACTGAAAATGATACTTCAGGTCAAAGAGCCAGCAGAGAGCTCCTGTTGTGGAGTAAAACTAGACTCATACTCATTGTTTCTCCAACTAAATAAGGTTCAGAGCAACCTCTTGCTATTTTCCTGAAATGTTTCTACAATAGAGTCATGACTCTATATCTGCAGCAGTACTAAAAGTTGTTAATCAGTTTTTATTGTGATGGTTTAGAATAAACCGGAACAGACCTGGAGCAGAGAAAAGAGGATTTAATGAAATTCAAATTGTGTACATTTACATTAATATCAATCTAGTAAAGTATATTAATACTTCTATAATCAGGGTTACTACACACCCTCTGATGAACCACCACCTTAGTGAAGGGTTTGTGTTCCCCTATGATCCTAAAAGGCAGATTATATTTCTGCAACCCTAGACATCAAATGTCGCTTGCGTCTGGTCGCAAACCAATTTTGCTTGTATGCTTCTGCACCACCGGTCTGGAATTTCTAAGGACACACAGCAGTTTCCCGCCAAAGCCCTAGGGGGAGCTTATTCTAGAACTCTCGAGAACTTCGGCGGATGGTCACGAGAACTTCGGCAGCGCCGGTCGGAGTGTTTACCTTCCAAAACAACAATAGAGCATCTGCGAGATATCACAGTCACGGAGATGGATCTAGAGCTGCTAAACGTCGTAGAGGAACAGGTTCTGTTAATGGAGTTGGCAAGAAGACAAAGGAGGATGCGTAGGTTGTCCATTGTAGTTGTTCCTCAATTTTTAAAAATGGCGCGCCCTGACACGAATAGAGAAGGACGACCACACAGACAGCCGGAAAGGCATACCAAGGACTAATCACAGCTGCTTTTTGTCTGCACACTTCCGCTTGAGGTCTAACGTGGGTTTGCGACCGTCCGATGCGTAGTCAAGATTTTTTGGAGGTGCCTGACGATGGTTGTAGAACCTTTGCGTGGGGGGCGCGGTCGTGCACAGAGACAGATTTGACGGTTGCAGAGGATATGCGTCAGAAGCATAAATAGGCCTTAATTGTCTCCCATGGCATTATGGCCTCAGGGAAGGGGATAGACTAAGAGGGACTCTAAGATTAAATGGGGGGTGCTCATCACAAAGCACGGGTGGTTGAGTTCTCTGCAGAGGTTAAGGCACCAGGTGTGGATGACATTCAGCCTTAGATTCTAAAGTGTCTGGGCTACTGTGGGGCACATGGTTGATATGGTGCTTTGATGATGCATGGATGATCGAGAAAACACCATTAGAGGAGGAGACTGGAATGGTGATTCCAGTTTTTAGGAAAGGGGACTGGATTGTGAGTTCCTATTAGTGAGGGGGGTCACTCTTCTTAGCCTCTCTAGGAAAGATTACTCTCAGTTGTTGGACGGGATAACTCTACCAGAGAAATTAGGTGTTCCACTAGGGCTGGGTGATATGAGTTCAAATCAATATCACAATAAATTGGCCAGTTTTACCTCGATAATGATAAATGCATGACAAACGCTCCAGCTCCTCAATCTGAAAATAAAGGCATGTGCAAGAAATGCAACAGATTATCTTGTTTAAATTTTCAGACTTTTCGAGTGATGTTCTCACCAAAAATGTCACTCCATCAGAGATGATTTGGAAAAAGTGTTTCCATTTTCCTTTTTGGGCATTAACTCTTTTTGCTAAGACCAAAGACCACCTCAGGTGAGGGTAAACATTTTTTTTTTTTTTTTGCAAATTTACGAGAGTTTATTTGAATTTTGCCATTTCCATTTAGCTTTTCTGATGCAATACTTTAAAAATGCGCATTAGAAAAAGCTGATGGAAACATACCTAATAATAGCCTACCCTGCTGATTCATGAATGCTAAATGCTGTTTTTTGCAATGGAGGGAGACATGAAAATACTAAAAGAAATAAAGTTTTCACCAAAAAAAGGAAACTTTACAGTGAGCTGACAGGCATTATGTAAAAACAGTGAGGAGTGTTTTTAAATATGCCTGAATTTAAATAAGCAGTTCACCTTTTTGATGAATGTGTAATTGGCCTTACAGTCATCTATAAGAGTTCTATTTTATTTAAACAGAATTATGATTTTTAATATAAAAACAGCAAAATTCAGAAAACAGAGTGTGAAACTCTATGCAGTTTTTGTCTTTATGACCACTTTCACCACAAAGGGAGCTTGCATTGTTTTAAAGTTAGGTTAATCAGAGAAGGACAAGCTTTTATTATACTGATGTGGGGATTTTTTTTAGCTGCAGATGCATGCTCTTTATTTTCTTATTCAAATTATTAGTCATAAAACAACTTTAGGTAATTAAGTAAAAAATCTGCAGAATTAGATGTTTTTTTATCTGATTAAATTGATGGATTAATCAGTTAGTAAAATAATTGTTTGTTACAGCCCTGGCACAAATAGATTAATGGCTGCACTTTCCCTGAACTTTTCAAACTGTGAAGGTGCTTTTTATTAGATGCTTTTAAAACATTTTCAACAGAAATAAATTATAAGCAAACATGTATTATTCTATCATTCCAAGCGATAAGTTATTCAATGGAAAATTTATTTTATCATAGTACTAGAATCAGAAGATGTGCTTCTCTTACCAGCTTTGCGTAGACACCCTATTTGTGAACCAGTGATGGCAGAATAGTCCTTGTCAACAACAACCCGGATAGTCACACCCTTTTCATGGAGTAGTATTACAGCTCTCTTCAAGTCGATGTTGGAAAAAGAAAAAAGACACAAGTCCAGCGAGGAAGAGGCAGAGAGGATGTAGCGGAGGAGATGAGAAAAAGATGTCTCTACACCATGTGGCAGCCCACAGAAACACAAGCTGCAGGAAGAGACAAAAAGAGGGAAGTTGACATCCTCTGCTAAACCATACAACTCATATATGAGCTACATATCAGAATAATTTCTCTTTTTTTGGTTTAACAGTGTGCAAATACTCTAATAAAACAGCACAAGCCTATAGGAACTTTGAGAAAAAACAATTTCAACTACTTGGACTTACCCTTCTGAATTTGGTCTGAACAAGTACTCCACGCAGGCCACCTCTGAGGGAAGATGAGGACCTTGTTAAGGGTTCCTCTGTGTTTGAGGCGACCAAAGAGCCAACAAAGCAGCTCCAGACTGAGGGAAAGGGCCACTACCCCCAGGCCAAAGGTCTTCAAACTCCAAGTCAGTGACATCTATATGAAATTAAAGAATTCAGTGAAGTCCAGCCACCTGAAAAGCTGCATAGTAAACATCTGGAATAGGAGTATATATATATATATATGTTATAATAGCTAAAGTTAAAGTGTAGAGGAGTTAAAATGGGAAAAAAACGCAACCAGATTTGTAAAGCACGCATTGTCAGCAGCACATTTGCAACAAACAATTTTCTTCTCCACATTGTGTCACATAACATACACAAATTTGGGGTATTTTATTGCGATTTGGCATAAAGCAGCAGCAAGTAGTGCATAATTGTGTATTTTGTGTATAGTATTGTCTTTGTGAAACAGGAAAATTGCTATGTGTGGACAAAAACTGATGCTGCATATTACCCTCAACGTAACAAACCCCATAATGAAAAATAGTGGTGGCATTATCATGCTTTACGGATGCTGAAAGCTTGGCTGCAAAACACTTGAGACTGGGCAGAGGTTCAATTTTCAGCTGGACGACGGTCCTAAACAAACAGTCAGAGCCACAATAGAATGCTTTATAAAAAAGCACAATAATCAATCAGAATGGCTAAGTTAAAGTCAAAGACATAAATCAAATTGGGAATCTGTGAAAGGACTTGGAGATTTATTCTTACAGATACCACAGAATCTGACTGAGTTGAGCTATTTTTGGAAAAGACAACAATGTCAGTCTCTATGTTAGATGTGCAAATCTGGTACATATACTCTGTAATACTTGCAGCTATAATTGCAGGTAGAGGGTGTTCCGAATTGGACTGACTTGAGGAGCCTGCATCAATTTATATAACTTTACACCTTCTTTTCCCTATACAGTTATGCACTATATCCTACTGCTCCATGGCATTAAGTTTCAAATTATGCACCAGAATTTGTTTTTTGTTATGTGACAAAATAGTGAAAAGAATGTGAATACTTTTGCTAGACAATATGATACTACTGTGGACCCTTTTTCATAAAAATGTCTTCTTACAATTAAACACTATTCCATTAGGAAATTTATATATTTTTCAACACAAGAATTGCAACCTTTAATAAATAATTCTTCCATATAAAAAAAGTCATAATGAAGTAAAATACAAACAACACAATCCTGAAAAAAAGAACAATAAAAAGCATTCCCAACTGTGTACTTGTTTAAACAGTTAGCTATGCTAGCTGATAAAATCTAAAAGGTAAACTGACTACGGCAAACAGAAAGTTCCTAGTCAGCGCAACAAAGCGAAGCCATTGTGACAAAGATATTATGAAAACCCTAATAAAACATATAAACTTTTAGAAATTGTTTTATGCCACAAAAATACTAACAAAAAACACATTAACTAATTTATCACCTAACCTGTCAGCAGAGTTTCTGTCGCCACCGTGCGGAAGACAGACGCGCTAAAGTTAAGTCGCTGTCATTGGTCTTGATTGCCATTTCAGGCAACCAATGGGCGGCCGCGACGTCAAAGCTCTCCTCCAATCATGTCAATTGAAATGTTGTCGGTGCCGGGTCTTGGGGAGCTCCTTTGCTTACTTCACCAACGTGTATTATCAACGTGAAACAGGTAAACAAGATTAAACTTCTACACGATCATTTTTGACATTAACACTTTGTTGAATTCCGATGAGAAAATGTACTCATCTGAAAAGTCGATTTATTTGAAAGGTGTTATCGGATTGTCTCTAATCCTGAGAGGAACAAAGTTGTGAAACAATTCAACAACAAACATGCTAACGCTAGCCTGCTAATTTAACAACAATACTGAGTATTGGTTTGCGTGAATACTAGTTGGAATCAATAATAAGGCTGTATGTTCTCATTTATTTAGTGAGACTTTCGTTAATTAGTCCATGTTTGTCTCTTAAACAGTTTTTATACAACTTGGGTTAAAATGGGTCGACGCAAGTCTAAAAGAAAGCCTCCTCCAAAGAAGAAGATGACAGGGGATCTGGAAACTCAGTTCACCTGCCCTTTCTGCAACCACGAGAAGTCTTGTGACGTCAAAATGTAAAACTCTTTTCCCTTATCTGATTAAATTAGTTTTAATTGTTCGTCTGAGTTCTAACAGTCTTTTTTTTCCACTCCAGGGAGAGAAGCAGGAACACTGGTGTGATATCATGCTCTGTCTGCTTGGAGGAGTTCCAGACTCCCATCACCTGTATCCTTTCCACCCTGTTGATTATAACTGACATCTGCGTCCCAAAGAGGAACAAAATGATGTTGGTGTTTTGAAATGTTACATCACTTTAATCTGTATTTCAGTTTCAAGGGATCCACATGTTTTGGTTTGATTCTTTAAATAAGAAAAGGTGGTCTCATTTGGCTCTTCCAATTTGTTTGAGTTGCTGCTTCAATTCTAATGATGTCAAGCGATTTACAATGAATCCATTATATAAAGTGTTTATGTATAAATATTAAATGTATTGTGGAGGATTTTCTAGAATTTTTCAAAAGACCCACCCTCCCCACTAAAAAAAATGCACGTGCAAGAGCATGCACGAGCCCATTTCTCCTCGTGCACGCTCTGTTTAAAAGTTGCTGTTAAAACAGCCTCAGTATTCAGTCAAGATGTGGGAGTTTGTCGGAGAGTTTCTTTCAGTTGGATAGATTCTAAGAATAGATTGGTTAGATTAAACAATGTAGTGATCAAAAGTGAGCGATTGGTAACAGATGTAATGAGTTTGAATTATTGTTAGTGAATTATTATGTCTTGCTAGTGGCATCAGCTGTAAGAGATGGACTTCCACTTTTGAGGTTGATGGTTCAAGACCCATTTCAGACTTTTGAAAGTTGCGGTAAAACTTTATTTTTTATTTTTTGGCTAATGTGAGTAATTTGTATTGGTTTGCTGTAGTACAAATATAGAACGGGTAAAAACACTACCAAAGTTAGATTGGTTGGTTTGACCAAAAGATGTGTTGAACACATAACTTCCAACCGATTCAAACCAAAAACTCTGGATACGCTATAATGTTTGGATAATATGACTAAGACCTTTCATTTTGTTCGTCGATGCCCAATTTGCACAAGCATTTTCACTGTCTGCTTGAGCTTATTTCACTAAAATGGCAGAAAAACTGTGATGTTTCTCCTTTAAGACGTTTTACACATAAAGCGGGCCGCTGTAACGGCAAATCCCATAATGCTTTGCGAGGAGAGCTCTCCGCGCAAAGCATTCTGAGATATATCTGCTTCTTCTAAGGCCTTTATTTTGTTGCCGTACACTTCTTAGACACTTTTTCTCTTACGACCCACGGCCATTTTTAAAAAGCCGCAATGAGCAAAGTGTGATTCAATGGCTGTCTGAAACCGTTACTCATCACATTAATACGTTTGTAAGTACGCATGCGCACAAAATGATAGCTAACGGGACGAACACAAATGACCGCGTTACATGAACATATCACCAGAATGATTGACCATTAGGAAGAACACTTATTTAGATGATCCACTCTGAAATAAAATATCTACCACTATACCTTTAATCTCAACATAGGGCAGAATTCTGCAAAAGAAACAATAAGATTACAAAGATGTTCTAATATGCTCTTGCAAGTGATTTGTAAAACCTCCTGAAATTGACATTTTAACCATGTTTGCTCTACAATCAACTTTTGTTATTGATGTAAATTACATAGCATCTAAATTTAACTTGGTCTCCTGCTGTTACTAATTTTCTCATGTTTCCATTATAATAGAAAGGTTGCTGTTCTCTCTACCATTTCCCTCATGCCTTACTCTCTGTGTGTGCCATCTGTAACCACCGCCCCTCCCTATTCTTCCTCAGTGTTGAGAGAGAAAAAAAAAAAAGCTTCTCTTTTCAGTCATTTTAAAGAATCGGCTCTAGGGGCTGATTTGTAGTATTTTTTTCCTGTGTTTAAAAAGGATTCAGCATGAAGACCATGCTTGAATTGTTAAGTGAAGCAGGCTTATTAATTCAGTAAATCAACCTGGGGTAGCTCGATCTGACTATCTGCTCGCCGTATAAAACAGCTGCAGCTCCAATAAAGACCAAGAAAGGAGAAGCAAAAAAAAAGCAGGTGAATGTGCAAATTTATTGTTCTACCAGTTGAACCGCCATGTTATTAAAGCATTAATCCACATTAGGGTTGTCACGATACTAAACTTTTCAACTCGATACCGATACTAAGGAAAATATTCGATACTCGATACCATTTGCGATACCACCAGGATAAAATTTCAACACAGTATTTAGCAAGCTTGATAAAAAACTTACAAAATTAAAATTAAGTTTTCCTTACTTGGCTATGCTTTGCACACATAACAATGACACTAGCCAAACCGGTAAGAAACAAAAATAATTCTAGGCAGCTGCAACTGTTACAAAAAAAGTCTGAAACTGAAAAGTGCACAGAATTATTCAATCACAGTGTTCAGAAAGTGCATTTTCCACCATTCTGCACTTTAGATGAATGACTGGTACTCGATACTTTTGAAAATGAGTATTGTATCCGGATACAACATTTCAGTATCGATACTTTTTGAGTATCGATACTTTTGACAACCCTAATCCACATACTTTTTTTTTTCTCAGTAACTTTATTGTTTCTGTTTAACATTTATAACCATTTTAGCCTCCTTTGCTTTTCGGCTTCAGTTAAAGTTGCTCGATCTTGTAACTGTGGAAACATGCGGTTGTTTTGTGACATTTAAATCACGTTTACATAAAAAAAAATGTTTTTTTAAGGGAATTATATGAGGGAGCTGGTTATAAATAAAACATGTAGCAGAGTGGCAAGCATGCTGCGTTTAGGCTCAATAAAAATCCAAAGTAATTTTAAGAGGGAAGCGTATTTATTACTTAGGTCAATCACGATTAATCGCTTATTGAAATAACGGTCAACTAATTTAGTAATCGATGAATCGTTAACTGCCGTATAGAGACTATAAAACATGCGTTTAGCTGACAGAGAAACACGCTTAGAGCAGTAATTATTTCAAAATTGTAAAAGAAGATATAAGTATTTTGCATTTAAGATAAAAAAAAAACAACTATTTTCTTCCATCGACATCCTCTATCCAGAACTCCTCAAATGGAAAAGTTTTAGTTTCACCTTGTTGCATTCTGTAAAAACCCTTCTTTAAGGGAACCTTTTCTTTTCCGCTAATAATCGAAAGATTAATCAATTAGCCAAATAATCATTAGTTGCAGCCCTATTTAGTACCATAAAGACTTCTGGAAAAATCCAGATTTATTTATCTGTAAAGTCAGAGATGTCAAGGTCCAGTCCTCGAGAACTAATATCTTGTCCCTTTTAGATGCATCCCTATTACAACACGCCTGAACCATATGGCTAAATTACCTTATCAGCATGTGGAGCATCACAGAACCTCTTACATAAAGTTTAGACTTTGTTGTCATGTCTACAAAGTTGGTGTTATGTTATGCATTGTTCATATGTCAAACCAATAAGTTGGCACACACACTGTATCTTTATGATTGATATTTTCAGTTTCTTTTCCAACGGAAATTAAATCTATAGCTTACATGGTTCTAAGACATCTGCTCAAAGACTCATAATAATTGGGGAAATGGTTGGGTTATCTCTGATATTTCCGACTGATTTAACAGTTCCTGAAAATGACTTGGAAGGATGTTTATTCCAATCCCCTTTGTTGAACATATATAAAGCCACTTGATGTGAATTGTGTAGAATGATCTTTTCCTTAATAGGAGCCCTCTTAGATCTGTCGGAGCCTGTAGACGTCTACAGTGATTGGATAGATGCCTGCGAAGTAGCCAATCAGTAGTCCGTGTGGAGCCGGACACATCTCAGGGAACCAGAGACGTCAAACATCCAGGAAAAAGACCGCGCCCATTCAGATCAAGCAGCTCTCAGGGCATCGTTGAAGCATTAATTGTGATGTTCACAGAATTTTATGGTCAGTAAGAGATTTTTAACTCTGTAAGCACAGGTCTCAACTCGTACATCTGCAAAACCTATGGGGAGGAATCCTGGTCTTTGAGTTAAATGTAAGATGCCTCCCTACGATTTTAGCTGTGAATGTTAAGTCTTTATATAACTTGTCTTCTTACATACAGCAGGGCTGTTTTTTTTTTTTTTTTAAATATAGTATTTGACCACCCTGAAACAAATGCAAATATTTCATTTAGGATAAAAATGGGAATCTGTATTATCCGAACTACTAGGCATGTTCTGCAAAAAGTGCACAATTTGAATAATGCATTTCCTTGTACTTAATTGTACTTAATGTACTGAACAATGTGAACAACACGGTTGATGTAAACACTTTAAAACTCAAGTCCCACAGCTGTTTGATCTTGATCACTCAGCAGGATCTGTTTGGAGTGCAACATTTTCTTATTGTCTGTATTAAAACCAGGGCAGGTGGGAACCTGGAGTGGATTTAAAAGGACGTGATGTAAGTGATTCCTCTAGGTAGTTATTTTTATCTTAAATAAATGCTAAACGCCAATCCTTCTTTGTATAGATCAAATAAACAATGATTTCTTCCTGTTACCAAATTTCTTCGTGACATTTCTTTACAACGTCCTGCCTCATCATAAAAGAATATGATAGTCTTAGGTCATCCAAACGCAAAAAAATACTAAATGCAGATTAAAAAATGGTTAGCGACATAATTGTTGGTAATTTGTTGAATGGTAAATCATTCATTCTGGTTAAATGAACCAACCCTCTCCTAAAAGAGTCAGCTGTTTATTTGAGCAGATGTGCAGAAAAATGTAGTTTTCTCTGCTTGAATCTGTAATGCTGCATGATAGCAAATTGAACATTTATTAAATAAGTATTGCAATGTATGAATTGTGATCAGTGGAAATAAATACATTTTTACCTTAACTGTTTGTCCGGTGATTACTTTTATGTTGAATGATTTCACTTTGAGGGCGGAAAAAATGGTCAATTTCTTTTATTTTTTTATTATGCCTGGTGTGTAGATTCCATAATCTTATTAACATGAATTCTAATTTTCTTTCTTAAATTATGCATTTAAAGTATTGTATTTGTTATTTGGATATCACAATACAACCCAAATGTATTTTTATTTCTAAATATCAAGACAAATTAGAATTTCATGCAAATATTCCATGATTGACAAATAATTGAAGGTACTTATTTCAAAAAGTTGATAAATATTCGATTTCATAGAACTTAATAGAATTATTTGGGGTCCATCAGCAAAACTGTGAATGGATGTTTGAAGACCGATCAGACCTGGCTGAGCCCATTTACATCAACACAGATGTGTTTCAGAGTTTCCTACACATTTCCAGAGATTTTGGGTTCTCATTCAGGCTGCCTTTAAAAACTAACTTTGATATGTTAAAAAAAAAAAAATGTTAGTTTCAACCACATGTCCCAATTAGTTAGTGTGGTGTAGGCAACCATTTATAACCCAAAGAGCCAGAATTTCTTTCATTCCCCAAATAAAAGAAGCAAAACCTGTAGACCTCTGAAAAAAGGCAGCGTATAAAGAGCCAAAACTTTATTTACAATAAGAGAATAAACATTTTTTTACACAATTACAGCAAGAGAACAAATAAAAAATACTTTTTTGTTTTACATCAGGACAAAAAACTTGTTGTGCCATTAGCTAGACTGTTAAAACCCTTCACTCAGTTGGGTGTGTGAATATGACAGTCATATGTGTCATCAAAACTGCTTTTTGGCCTAAGGATAGGTTTTAAAGCCAGAGCCATGCTGGGAACCTAATCAGTTATTTCTGCATAAAGTAGGAGTCAAATATCTGTTCAGCACCACGGGAGAAGCTTGATGCCTGCATTATTCTGTATTTGCTATAATGTGCTAAGTACACTTAGCAAAATATTCATTGATCTGAATATACTGTACTCATTAAAGTCTCTATGTAAAAGTACATTTGGCTTAAATTAAAGCAATACACACCCAATTCATGTTTGTCTTTGATAAGACATTGACACTGATGATGAGTTCAGTTCTGTGAAGAACTAAGTTTAACATCAAAGTCCTGTTTCACATAATGTATTATATAAATCAGACTTATAAAAGATATGTGGAAAAAAAGACACATTCTAGTCCAACACAATCTACACTGCAGAGGCCCTCTCTGCTACATAACAGAATAGGAAATCGAGTAAACATATATTTCAAATACCCATGCTGATATATTTTATTTTTTTGGTGCCAATCTACTGTCTTGTGGCATCTGTGACTGTTGCATGTTTTCAGGAGCCCATTCATTCCCACAGAGCGCAGAATGAAGCAGAAATGAAAGAAGACGGTGTAGTGGGGTTGTGCACCAGACAGGGCTGAGTGATAATAGATGAGATGTTGAGTGCCTGCCTGGGCTCTCCACCCAGGAGGAGTGTGTCCGTGCATGCATGCGCCGCGCCGTGCATTGTGTTCGATGATGGACCCCAGCTGGAGAGGTATTGACAGCGCCTTATGAAACATGCTGGAGGATGATTACAATGGAGAATGATTATCAGTCAGCCTCTCCCTCCCCCTCTCTCCTCCTCCGTCTCTCGCTCCTTCTTTCGCCTCTCTCATTCAGCACGCGAGGTCAAGTGTCACTCTGTCTCCCTGTTGTCAAGGCTGCCAATCAACCCACACAGCGAGTCCAGGGCAACCGTTGTCAGGGAAACAGAGCGATTTTGGTTGCTAGGCACCTGGAGCTGTGCTCACAATAGTCATTTTGTTGCTTGGAAGCAACATACACGCACAGGCATAAACACACATATAGCCACGGAAAGCGCTTTCGCCCAATCAACAAGTTCACGAAGCTTCAGAGGGAATTTTGTGTTAATTATGATTACCTACTGTCACAGATTTGCTTACACAGGGGAAAGAAATCATGCCAGTGGATTTGAAGGGAGTGTAATCTATCTTCAAGGCAACAGGATGCTAATGAAGTGCTGAACTTGCAAAGAGATGTTGATCTTCTAATTTATAATACTTTAGCAATAATGCTAATGCTCCAAAAATGTTATACCGGATGTTTTATTCCACCACCTCAGCCTGCTTGATTAATCAGCAAGCCCCAACGCCCAACGTATTCTTCAAGCCAACACCCTGGACTTGATCAATAAAAGACATAAACATCCATCATTGTGACCAAAAATAGTTACCCATAAAAGCAGTCAATCCCCCGCCTCAAGGCGCATGCACCCAGTGAACCTTTACGCTGTAGCCTATGTGCACTCAAACGGAAGGGATCTATCTGTGTGCCCGTTTTCACGAGGTCCATCAAACCCCCGCTGTTTCCCCGCTGGCATCTAGATCCTGCAAAACCCCTTGTTGAGGCTTTAGTGTTTGTGTCAGAGTGAGTCTTATTCTGCATCATGACAGCCAGTCAGCTGAGTCAAAAGACTGAAATGTCAACCATGGGTGCAAGATTTACATGTCGTCATGCGTTACTGTCTCCTGTTGCTGCCGCTACTGGCATCAAACTCTCACTTTTTTTTTTTCTTCTTTGATGAGGTCGGAACTGGAGAGTCAAAAAATAGGAGCACAGGAGGTTGGATGGACGGCCTCATGGATGAGCAAACAGTGCTTCTAGTGCACCATGTTTAGAAATATTTGCTATGAAATTACAACTAGAGCTGTAAATGTCAGCCAAGACATAGTAAGGTTAAGGGGTCACTTGTAAATGATGCCAGTACACAATCAAAGACTCAGATTTAATGTGCAGGAGTGCACACTTTTGTGCTAAGCTCCCTGAACTACTCCCAGGTGGTTTTAGTTTAGCAGCATGGTGCAAAGCTTCTCCTGCAGGAGCTGCTGAATGGCGCTGACGACACCAAAGCATCAACTCCACAGGTGGACAGTGACACGGATGATGATGTCAGGGGCTGAATTTGGTTTGTGCACCTGGCTTACCTCAATTTTTTCCTAAACGACGTCAAAGAAGTATTCACTTCCGTTGAACTTTTATTTTTATTTTTTTTTTACAGAATGCTACATTACAGCCACAAATTCGATTGTATCTGATTAATATTTTATGCAATAAAACATCAGTAAGTGGAACATAATAAGATTTAAAAAAAACATCAGACCCATTAGACATCGGATCTTGTCATCAACAAACCCCAGCTTCCCTTTTGCTGCAATAAAAAGCATCCTTTACACTTTAGCATGTGATGCCAATTCAATGTTTAAGCCCGTTCAAAGCCATCTGCTGTATTTTAACACCATGTTAACTGCTTTGCTACATGGTTTAAGAACAACAGTAGGGCGAGTGCATGACTAGTGGTCGCTTTATCTACATTTCCTACTTTAGAGAAAAATACCCCCACAGCAACAACTGCAATTTTTCCCAATGAGGCTGTATTCAGAGTGAGCAGTGGTAGTTTTGAGATACGCACAACTATAACTTTGTTGCACTGGATTTTCTCTCTCGGGGGTATGCAACACTTTTATATTTGTATTTGTAGAAAATGAATGACGAGGTTTATGAAAAGTCTTACGAGGCACATCATTTCATAAACCAAATTGACCGCACATTTGCATTTGCTCCCTCCGTTTATATTAATGCGTTCTGGTTTCTGCAGTATAGAAAAAGAGCTCTGCATCAGAACCAACGTTGAAGGTAAAGCTTCCCCTCGACTACGCGTATTCTCAAGCAATAACATCTACATCTGTATTATCAACCCAAGAATACCCGTGGTCGAGACCGGAGCAAAAATGCCCTCCTCCGCCCACGCTTCTACTCCTTCCTCTCTCCATTGAGCTTCTTTCTTTTTTCTCTTCGCTGTTATCCTTTCAGCTCCTGAATCCGATTGCAGCGTGGATGTGAATCTTTAAAGACAACACCTGTGATAAAGGAGACAAAAGAGATGATAT